CTGCAACAAGCAAGGATATCTCCAACTAGATCAAGTTGTTCAGAGCCCCATYGAACCTTACCTTGAACRGCTCTAGGCATAAGGCATCCATAGCTCCTCTGTGCAACCTGTGCCAGTGCCTCACCACCCTCACAGCAAAGAATTTCTTCCTAATATCTAAATTGACCCTCGTTCAGYTTAAAATCATTCCCCCTTCTCCTATCACATCAGACCCTGTTAAAAAGTTTGCTCCCATCCTTTTTATAGTTCCTCTTTAAGTACTGAAAGGTTGCAAAGAGGCCTCCCTGGAGCCTCCTCTTCTCCAGGCTGGATGCAAAACCTGTCTGGGCAGAACAGCAGCAAAATGTACTGGGGGGAACAATTATGCAACAGTCACTGATACATGACTTTGTGCATCCATYGTAGGAATAAGGCCTAAAGCCAAGAGAGATACTGGGGGATCTGCAGTAAAGGGATGAATGTGGGCATGATGGCCTGATGATATGGGTGCGATATCCCCCATTTATATCCAAATGGCTGACCCCCACCATATATAAAGGCAGCAACAGAATATTTGTCTATAATCTCATCTCCACTTCTCCCAAAAGTATAAATTTTGCATTTGAAATCCTCTTTGGCACAGAATATGACCCCATTCCACAGGCAAGTCAACAGGCTTGCTCCTCTCTCCCTCCCCAAAGCTGGGATGCCTCTTGGTAAGGTTTGCACCTCTGCTTTGCATTGGACCATACCTGGGAAGACTTGTACATAGTGCTAGACACTTACATTTTGTACATCTAGTGCATTTATTACAGTCACTATAATAAGAATGTGGAACATGTTGCTTTCATGAACTACGTTTGTGAATTTGTGCTCATGGAAGTTCTTACTTGATGTGACCAGACAGGAAGTGCCAAATTGGTGGCAGTCACAAAGTAAGCTGACTGCACCCAGCCCCTCTGATCTCTGGGAAGCAAGGGTTTGATTTTCTGTTAAATTTCTATACTCTTAATGCAAGATCATCTGACCTCATTTTTCCAACAAAATCTACTGGCCTACCAAGTTAATAGGTAGCAGTAGAGAGATACTGGAGCTTACTCTGTATCAATATTCATTCTGCAAATTGTTACATGAGTTGTAACAGTGAAAGCCTTTGTCAATGATGACAAGCATGAACCAAAAGGCATGTATGTTCTTTAGCACTACATGTATCATTTAAGGAATTCTTGTCTAAAATTAACCAAATAAATTTTTCAGAGTCCAGAAGCAACATACAGACATAATAAAATCTGAATCCAAGATGGTATGAGTCACTGTCAGACACATTATTCTTAAAAGAATGGAAAACTTCAACTGAAAGTGAAAGCAGTGATTAAATGGATCAGGGAAGTGARATACCTCCTGGAAATCCCAAGGGTAGAAAAATAATCACATATCTTTCTTCTATTTTGAGTGCAAAAGACCTGTATTATTTAGGAACTTGTTTKCTTTTTAGAAACAACTGCAGAAATTAGTTGCTTAGAGGCTACAACGTGCTATCATCAGAAAGGATACCTTTAGAAAACAAAGAATAATAAAGAAAGTGAACTGTAAGAAGAAAAAGGAAATTAAAAATTGAATTGAAGCCAAAAGACTATACAACACTCTCCTGGCAAATAATTTGTAGGATTTAGATACTGTAGTCCAAGATATGACTATGAGAACTGTAACAGGGTTTTTTAAATCACATATAATAAGGAAGGAAAAGAGTCTAACAAAAGGAAAAAACCTGAGATACAGGTGGGCTGGTTAAAGGAAATTTAGTTATTCTGGAAAGGAAAACTATGAGCTGGAAAGACTTGTAWCTCTTCATCACTATTTCAAAAGCTAATTTTTGCTTGAAAATTAGCACACAGTAGACTAAATACCCTCAATCTTTACCCCCCCCCCCAAATAACAAGAACAAAAGATTAAAAAATCCTCCCCAAAACCACCCTTATCACAAAAAAAGAGATAAAATATCACTGTTACAGGGATTTCATAGAGAAAATGTTACTCACAGGGCTTTGCGTGCAAATTTGTCATTGTTTCTTTAACCAAATGTTGACTCATTTATAAGATAAAACCTAAAATTTATTCTTTCAATTTGCTGCAGATTTTTTTAAACTAATTTAAATATTTATACCATAACTTGATAACTTCAGATGGAAAACTGATTTAACTTGGTATGTTACAGTGAAACTGCCTAAGACAGCACTGCATCAATTCTTGTAGGTATAGGTAGTAGGCATAATTTTCAGTCAAGAAAATTCCATGCCTTCGAGAAAAAACAGTGTTTCTTTTCCTCTAGCTTCTGATGCTCTTCTGCATTTAAAATTTATGTAACTTGAATATTACTTGAAAAAAATGCCCACATTTTTGAGGTAATAATAATTGAAAAAATCCCGCTTTTAAAAATCACAAAAATGATATATGAACAAATTAATWCTTTTTCTTGGGATAAGAACTGAGTTCTAGTAGTATCTTGCAGCGCCGCAGTGCTAGAGCGAATATTCCTCCTTCCTTCGAGCCCCTGATACATTTCTCAAGCAACAGCCTAGGGAAGCAGGGAAGTAACACTGGGAGTTAAAGCTTGGAGAAAAAGATTTGCCACTGAGATGTGGCTTTGTCACCACACCCTTCAACACCATGAAACCGGTGGGAGGTGAGAGACTGACAGCCTACTGTCTTTAAGAGTTCATAAAGTTGTGAAAAAACTATGCTTCGAAAAGCAAGTAAGGGTTGGAAAGACTGAGAAGAGAGAGGACAGGAGAGCCTAGGAGACTGAAAAGGAGCAAAATAAAGATGGACATTCCCATCCTCCAATTCCTTGAAGCAAAATACAAGTTTACTGATTTCTAGATGTTAATTTGAAAATTAACTGGGAAAAGGGTCCTACTAGCTCTTCCTCAGAACATTCAACTGTCCTGGGAGCCATCCTCCACAACAGCAAGCTGGTGTTGGGAGCACAGAAACAAGGTGCTTTCCCACAGTGCCTTTCTATGATTTCACAGCCGGTCTTACACTGGTGAAAGCTGCTACTGACCCTGCCTCTATGCTTAGACATAAYTTAACATATTTAAGGCACCTCTGAAGATAGCAAAAGCAGTAATAGTATATCTGATGAGATTAAAAGCTAAGGTTAAAAGAACATTACATACAATTTATTAAAGTTTAGTAAGAATTTATTATGAAATGATGGCAGGATTCATTATGACTGAGTATTTTCTCCAGTTCCTAGTTAGTACTGGAGTTGAAAACACAATTAAACCCACCAAGAGTCATAATAAGCTAAAAACTGTGGCAGAGCTAAGAAAATAGGTCAAATGAGTTGAATTAAAAGAAGAAGCAAGAAATCCTGCTTCTTACTCTAATATGTGAAAATTATTTATTCCCTTACTATGGACTTTACAGATGTAATCAAGTCCTTCTTCTCTTGTGAGAGAGTGACAAAAGGCTTCTGTAAACTGGCAATTGACCATCCTCCCAGTACAGAAAGAGTAGGAAGCAGAAATTAGGACACATTTCAGTTTGGTAATACTGYACTGATCCAATGGTTTATTTAGATTAGCTATAACCCTCTACTTTAAATAAAGAGATCTGTAAAATTTCTTACTTAGCTTCTTTGATCCAGTGTGTTTAATGAACACAGTTTCATATTTGAATCTGAATCTTTCTGAGTCTCAGCAACAGATTGTTTTTGCCCCTATTATTACCTACTTTCCATGCATTCTGAGACATGTTAGGTAATGTTGTTGTAGCACTTAACTGAATTTAATACTTAATACAGTATTACTGAACTGTAGTAATTCAATAAGCAATATTGAATAAAGTGATGGAAGCAAAGAYTAAATACCATTCAGTTTGGTTTGGGTTTGATTTTTGTTTTCATAAGATGGGAAAGGGTTTTGAGTAGTTCTATGAAAAAGCTGAATGCTGGTACTGAGATCAGTTTTTGGCTGATATGTTAAACTGAATYGGATCATGAAGGAGCCAGACAATATTTTCCCCCCATTCCTTACAGTTCTTCTTAATCTTTTCAGACTGGTGCATATTTAGAAATAAAGTCTAGGCGGATGGGTAGGACAATATGATGGAAATGCCAGGCATAAAAGCAAGTGGACAGGATGGAAAAAGAGCAAGTATTGGTGAGTAAGCAGACCCAAAGAGCAGCAGGGGGACACTATATTCAAGGATCAGGTAAAAAGGCATGAGGAAAATGCCAAACATTCAGCAAGTTGCTAAAGCAGTACCAAACAGTCAGCAGCATAAGAGCATTTCCACGAAGTCAGCAGATGCACTCAGCATGGAAGGCAATGCCAGGCACTTGGAGCAGGAGACAGGGCAGCAGAAGGCCAATGCCCATGTACAATGAGATCAAAAGGACAATAAGGAGGCGATACATGCCAGTCTACAGATGGACAGAGCAGTAGGTAGTCACTGTCAAGCAATTAGCTGGTCAAGAGGCCATGCCAGACACTCAGGCAAAGGGCCAAGATTTCAGGACAATGCCACACAGCCAGCAGTTAGAGAGAATATAAGACAGTAGTGAATGCCAGGCAGTCCCCAGATAGACAAGGCAGAAAAAGACCAACGCCCACCAATAATCAGATGCAACTGTTGGCAAGAACAAAACATAAGCCTGCCAAATGATTGACATGGCAGCAGGGTGGCAGTGCTTTTTCAACAACTTAGGATACCATGAATGAAACAATCCCAAGAATCTAGATGCTCACCCTTTGGTAATATMATTTGATCAGAGTGAACCATGAATATCCACAGGAGAATAGCACACAAATGGAAACAGCAAATGAGTCTGACCCTAGCACTTGGGGAGGCCATGGGACCTTCCTATAAAACAAAAATATGAGAATCCACAAGAAAATCAAACAAATGGGAAAAATATGTCTAAAAACTGTTTCTGATGATGATTTAAAAAGCAAAAAAATACTAGCAAAGAATTAGTTTGGAAATGATTGGGTGGGATTGAAGATGTTGCTTACCCCTCTCTGGAGCCCACATAATGGGAATGTTGGGAATTTCTGCAGCAGAAAAACAGAAGAGAAAAGGGATTTCTGACTCCCAGTTCAAGGAAAGCATGTCAATTTACGACTGGGTAATCTCTGGGCAAAAAATAAGAATTCAACTGAATCTTTGCCCATCCCCAGACACATGCCTTTATTGAGGTTTGTGAAAAATTTAAGAAGCCCACATCACTTTCATCTCATGACCTCCCACCCTTGTTCCCCAAAACCACACTTACCTCTAGCACCTCTAGTGTAAGAGGGGAAAGGGGTTGGTCTTGTGAGCTCATTCCCATATCCACTGCAAAATGGCTTGTGAAGTTGAACAGGAGTACCCATTAGCCTCTGCTGGCCATTGGTGAGATAAACGGAAGTCATCATTAACCGTTACTCATTATTAGTGTAGGTTGGTGTTTGAATTTGGCTTAGATACACCCACACTCGAATGAAAAGAATTAGTCTTATGAATCTTATGGGCTAACCCTTTCTAAGTATCAAACTTAACAGCACCTTTTTGTTACCTTGAAAATCCTCTTCTCTTTAACTTAAGCACTCTGCTATTTAACATGGTTGSTTTTTCAAACAAATTAAACTGTTTCAGAAATCTTAATTGCTGTTTTATTTCAGAAACATGCAATGAATTCTGAAATGTAAGCTGAGAAAATCCCTAGCAAAAAGTACTAATAAGGTTCATTAATTTAACTCACCTGCCATTTAAGTCATGAGACTTTTTATACAGTATCTACCTAGAAACTAAAAGAACCAGCCAAGAATAAAACTTCATTATTTCTGTCTACTTAGCAGTTTCGATTGTGTGTGCATTTATCCACCTGAACATTAAATTTTTATTGACARCACTGAAAACCTACATGCCACTTCAACAAGATAGTAATATGAAACAAGAGGCTAACTCTTCCCTCCTCTGCAAACTAGAGAGCCTTAGATAATATAAARGAATCATCAGTTTTGCTGTGCTCTTGCTGAATTAGGATTTGGAAAGGCCATAGAGAGAATCTGTATTAACTTGCCATGCACTCATATGCAACAAAGCTCTTAAAGAATATAGTAGTGATAGGCTAAGCTGATGGAATTTATTTATACTGATCTGGGTATCAGCCACTCATTTTTCTTCTAGCTGAGCAAGGCACAAGARTAACAGATATTAATGAAACTTGAAATTTAGAAACTGGGATTGTAGAATAGCAATTTCTTCCATACCCAAACTTTCTTGTATTGAACACTACTATTTGGGCTTAGAACAAAATGGCAGAAAATTTAGGGAGAGAAGACCAAGAGACTTCCATCATACGATTAGTAATGGTATAAACYAGCAGGAACTGCTAATACTGGCTGAACCAGAGATTAGACTACAGGGTACTTAGATAATGTATTGGMAGTTTTATAAAATTCAGTGATTTTGTGGCCAGCAGGAAGCACAATTAGCTGCACCACATCAAGAACAAAATTGCTATCACCTTCTCTCTGAAGGGAGATCTTTCAAGCTTAATGAAAGTGAACTATGACAAACTGATCTCAGCATACTGTAAAAAAAATGCTTATTTGTGGAGGAAAATATGGACTTTTACAATCCAGTTACAGTTTAAATGTCAACAATAAATAACAGTAGGCTGTGCATCTCACTATTAATTTAGGTATTCCAATGAAAAAATAACTTGGGAAAAACATATGCATGAAGGAACAAGAAACTAAAATACAGTCTAAATAAAGGTTAAAAAGTAATTATTTTCTTGTCCATCATTGATAAGACATCCATGCCTAAGCGTGACAATAGTCATTTTGGTTTTCTATTTTGGTACTTATAGTGAGTCAACATTTTGCTAAAGCTTCACTGCTCCACGTGGTAGCAATTAGCAAAAGCAGGAGAAGGACTAGTTATAATCCTAAGAATAACTCCTGTAGATAGCTGCTTTCCAAGACTCTTCTAGTTTCTTTCCACTTAGTGGCTGGAAAAGCTCCTACACAGCAGGGAAGAAGTAAATGAGAAATTCTCCATTGTTTAGTAAGTATTAGTTTTAATGATTAACTATTTCAATAGTGAGTCATTTTGCTATTCTTTTGTGCTAATGTCAAAAGGACTMACTAACTCAATGTTCCATACATATTTTAAATCCAAACTAGTATTTGCCCCCTAGTTATCATATCTTTAAGCTGCTTTCACAGAGAAGTCCTCCTGATATGTCTATATTATTTTTTTGTTAATTTTCCTTGTAACAAGTTTTTACAAAACTCCTTGTAATAGACCATGACCAGAAAAAAATGACACATTAAGGACAAAAATTTCATAATTACAGGCCTGACAATGCTTTCAAGATTATTTTGCTTTAACTTGATATTCAGTTTCCTATTATCTTCTCCAAAGTGATGCTTTAATGGAAACTATTTTTAGAAATATTTAAGAGGAAAAAAATTCCAGGAGTTCCAAATTGAAAATTTCAYTATGCAGAAGTCCTATGGCAAGCCTATTTTTCTTCCCCAGTTACAGAAAGGACTGCAAGATATATTCACTGCTGTGGCTACACTGCTAATAACAAGCCAGTTTATTTAACTAATAGAGAAATAGCCACATGAGCTGAGGGTTCTATGATGAAAACACAGCTAAAAGGCATCAGCAAAACCAAGAGGAGGAAAATCCTTCTCTTTACCCCACTAAAAAGCACACCCTAATCATACTGTATGTCTGAGTGCACTTTTGGAAGTACTGCGTTCACTCACACAGGAACCAATTGTCCACTCCCAGGACATGCCAGCCTTCTTCCAACTGCTATTCCTAAATTACCTTGGAAAAAAACCCTTAATTTCAAAATTTAAGAACAACGGACTGAGATTTCCTGACTCATTTCTGTGGCTTTGCTTCTCATTTTATGAGATATTCAAATTCATTACCGTTTTACTGTTCTCTTCAGCAGAACTTGCAAATATTTCCTACATGTTTGAAAGCCAGAAAACACAACTTCTATTTGCTATTCAAGAGTATAAAGGACAGCTAAAAGAAAGCAAATAAAAGCTGATCCTCAAATCAGCAAAAATATCCAAAGGCTTAACATGAATTCTACTAGCATTACCTTTATGATGGTCAGACAGCTTCACACAGAAGGCTAATACACTAGTTAAGTAATTAAAAATATATTTGCCCAGCATTCTCAGCCAATATTAGCAAGGTTTCGCATTTTCAAAAAAGAGACAAAAGCAATTATTTTAATCCTTTTGAATTCAGGAAATATAATTGTTTCATTATTAATTTCAGGATCCATTTGATTCAAACTATCTTCYCATCTAACATACACAGAGCAAAAGGCTATAAGTGCAGGAAGATTCATTTAACACCATCTATGATTTCTGCAAGGAGTACAAGACGACGTGAGTTTTGTAAGACATTTCTCCCACTACCAAATACTTTTTGATTTGACAGAATTAAAATGGAGAATGCAGCCCTTTAGGGATTTTTTTTTTGTGTGATTAATCTCTTAAACAAACCAACCAACCCAAACACATAAAAGCCTTTCATTATGGTGATTTTATTAGATTTTTCTGTCTCAAGCTTTCTATCRCCACAATTTTTTACAATTCTTTTTAGTAGGAAAAGAAGGTCTTTGGTACCATACAAAGCCTTTCGTACCATACATTATTTCCCAAAGAAAGTACAGGTAAAAATGAAATTATTTCTCAGTGTTCTTTAAGATAAACTAAGCAGGCTGGGTTGTATAACTCTCACAGAAAGCATCTCTCCTAGCCATCATATTTTTTTGACCTTTTTCTATATCCACTGTGACAGTTGAAAGTTTTTTAAAGGGCATGTCATAAAAAATATGCAGCTTTGCATTTTAGACACATCAATCCATAACCRAACAAGTATCCTCTGCATTGTTTGTCTGATGGTCTTATTTTTTTGAGTAACCTCTGATACTTCAGTAAAGAGAGCTGAAATAGGAACTGCCTTTTTTCCCCCTCACATTTCTCACTATAGGTGTCCAGGCAGCTGGCAGGTGTTTTCATGCAGCAACTGCAGTTGATGATAGCACAACCAAGCCCTTCAGTGATGATGATGTGTTACCCATGTTTCCCTGAGAAACTCAAACARGAGAAGAGAAAGGCACTTTTTAGCCCTTTGTAAGTCAGCTAAATCAGAGTGGAATTTCTCAAGACACAGGCACTTCTGTAAACTGAAAGTGTGCTGTGTGGTGCTAAAAATTTCTTTAATAATGCTCTTTCTCAAAGAAACTGGTAATAGTGGAGTGTTCTGCAACTWAACATATCAATTCTGTTATAATAACATGCCCTCCCAAGAGAAATTTAAAATCTAAATATGTAATTTTAAATTGAAGTATTACAATACATAAATATTGTTGGATTTTAAACCACAAAACACAGCACATCAAATAATAAATTTTATTGAAAAATTAAAGCAGACTGGATAAAGACCTAATCATACATGCTAGGAACTGCCTGGAGAACGAAGAAAAAGGGAATGGTACCTTACAGAGTTGCAGAAAAACTTCTAAGAGTAGCACAGAATTTGGAAGGAGTCTGCCACAGAGCAATCTGCTCCATTTAAGCATTCTTCTTGCTTAGATGCACGTGGCAAGATTTTGTAGTCCGACCCTTTAGGAGCAAGCTGGTTTGGAAACAATTTTCTAAGAAATATGAAGACCTCAAAAGGGCTAATGGCAAGTTACAGGGTCAGATGTCATCCATACACAGCACACATCAACACAACTCAACACAGAAATCAAACTTAACTCAGAGCAAGACCTCCATTAAGAGACATGGAAAGCTATAGTCTTAAAAGAGACTACAAAAATATATGCTTAAATAGGCTATTCAACTGGAGGGTACCTGGAATATCGAAGGGTGAAAAACTGAAACAATAGCCTGGGTTGTTACAAGTTGTACCATTTCATATTGTTCCTACCACAAYATTACTTATGTCCCATGTGAGATGAAGGCTTCATTCCTCCTCACTACAGAGCCATCCTGAAGCGTCAGTTTGTAAAAAAGAAATTATTTTCTTTTGGTCCATTGCCAACACTAAAATATTGCTGGGGAAGAACAGAAGCGCTCTTATATCCACAACAAACAATTCTAGAAATCCCTGCAGCTCTGGAAAGGCAGTATTTGAATTAGGGAGGAAAAAACCCTCCTCTATATTACTTCTAGTTAAAGTTACTGCCTGTTAAATGGAAATTGTTGTTTGGAAAGTTTAAGTTTCAGTGGATTTGGATTACTTTGATGGGAAGGTGTTGTTGCGAGAGTATGGCTGTAACATGAAATATCCTATTGTGTCCCAAGCATCTTATTTCATTAACAGAGCTAAAGTGGAAGCAAACAAGCAGCCAAAATACATGAAAAGTAAAAATAATAGAGATTAGGAGGGCTTCCAACATTACTTGAGACAGAGGAATGGAAGGATAAAGATACTAAAACAGACTGTGGAAGTAAAATGGAATTTGAAGAAAAATCCATGAAAGATATCTTAGAGAATGGGGAAAAGGTAAATGACGGAAATTTGCATTTGGCAATTACTATAAAAATGCTAAGCAATTTTGAACTGAATACAAAAGGACATTGCACAGCTGAATTGAGATTTTCTTCTCTCCAAACATGGCATCTGTGGGACTATGTTTGGAGTATGTTGTTCATTCTGAAAATGCATTTTTTCAGAAACATTGACAAATAGAAGGGAGTTCCAGAGATCAATGATTTCTTTTCATGGACTACAGAACTCTGATGAAAGAATAAATAAATATGCATTATTTTCAGACTTACTGAAAACAAGTATGTGCCTAAGTACATTTTAAAGAAATCCACATATAYTGAAGAATATAAACATCAAGAACCAAAAGAAGCACTCATAAATTTTCCACAACACTGGAAAAGTAGGAAGACTGTAAGAAAACATCTGTCTGGTGTTACATGCTGGAAAACAGCTCTTCTGTGTTTTCTACAATTATCTTAAAATGTTAGGGCTCAAAATTATCTAGAGTGTGAATATACTCTTTGTGAATACATATTGTGACACAGCTCAAGAATGTCTATTATCAGTTGAGGACAATACATTGATTTCTACTGCTATTATCTAAGTACATAAAATTTGTCTTGTAGCTGGGCAAACAAGACTCACGCAAAATCATASCAGAGACAAAGAAAACAGCTGGAAGACTGTTGGGAGACAGACAAATGAATTTTTTGATGTACAATTTTGCAAAATAATAAATGTAAAAGTAGAATAGACAAGATAGAAAACTGAGCCAAGCACCCGTATACATGAGATTTTCTCTTTCCCTTTTTTATTGAGCAACAGAGAAAATAGATTTCTATCAGAAGGATACTAGTGATTAATAAAAATGCTGCAACACTTTAATTTTTTTCACAAATATTAATGTATATTGTTATCAACATTCTGTAAGAACTACCACTGAAGTATTGTAGTTCAAGAAATAAATGTTTGCATCTGGAAATGTATGGCAGAAGTTCCCTAAATAAATTAACTTGGGCTATAGTTGGATCTCGGTTTAGCAACAAATACTTTTTACATCAACAAGCAGATTGCATGAGCAACTCCAGCAGAGATTTACAGACTATCCCCATAAATTATATGTGAAATTAGACTGTAAAAAAATGTGGCTGTATCTACAAAATTAGGCTTGCACTTCAGCTTTAGTACAAACTACCACCAACTGCCATAACAGTTAAGAATTCCAGCATTCACTAATAAAATCTATAACACAGTTACTTTCAAGTTCAGCCATCCATTGAGTGAATTTGGTTTTTAAAATAACCACACAATTTCATCACTTCTAGTTGCGTAGTCAGGAAAGCGAAGGATATTCACACTGCTTAATTAAACTGATCATCGCCCCTCAAAACGTGAATTGTAGGAACTAATTTAAAAGTTTCTCTCCACCCACTGACTAGACAAGGGTGGAGAGATTAAATTTAACAGGCAAGGAAAATTAGATATTACAAATATACCTAAAATTGTCTATTCTGTTACAAGAAAAAATGTCATTTCAATCAATGCATGATTGAAACAACTGCAATAACCTAGTACAGTTCTGATATAATGTTCAAAAGGCAAAGTGAGCACAGAAACAACTAATATTTTGGGCTGCTTATTTATATATTTCTCAGGTATCAATAAGCCATTTTTAGCTACATTATGCTAGGCACTTGATTTCAAYTTTATCAATAATTACAGAATTCAATTAACATTAAGTCTTTGGGATGCAAATAATCTTGGGAATTATCTTTATCATGTATGTACAATAGTAATTTAATATCTATATTCAGAAATGAAAGCAGAGAAACCTGCTTTCTAATACAAAGTACAGGAGAATTAGGGAGAAGCAGGACTGAAACATACCAATAGAAATATGACCCAACTGACTACTCTCTCTATTCTAAGGAAAAGTACTAAAACGTCTTCCATTACCACATTCATTTCTTAATAGTTTTTAAATCATATCTTAAAGATGACATCTAAATAGCACAATGTCATGATTACACCCTTCATTATCAGTTCAGTGATGAGAGCATGCTGAATCAACACCATACACAGAAGAGATTAAAACCATTTCTTACATCGATGCAAGTTTTCCTAAAAGCTTGTTATTGCACATTTCATGTTGACCTAAAGAATGTTCCATTTCATATTGGTTTTCTCGTTGACCCAAAAGACATAAAATATGGGGACAAAACTTAAGTCTTCTTAATATGACTTTGGCAAACTGATTTTGTTTCCTTAAAAACATTTGTTTGAATGAATGATGTAGTAAACCCTATCATAGGAACAATGTTTGTCATCACCACTTTGTAATAAACCTGGGATTTAATATCTCCACTGTGATTTAAATTAATCCAACTTAATTAAGTGAAAAGTGAGTAAATACTCTGCTATATAAAATCTTTTTGAATATGGGAATAATTTGACAGAATACTTGATTCTGTTATGATCAACCCAAGTCTTGTATATCTATTATGTTAAAAAACAATGCAGTTTTTCTTCAGTACAAGCTATTAGTCACTTTTATATCAATGTGGGTTTAATATATAGAGACACTAACAATTCTGATAACTTTCAACATGGCTTACTCAACAAAACTGATGAAAAAAATAATCCCTGTTTGAGGAAAAGAAAATACTAGGTGTTTTATATGCAGAGTAGTAATTTGTTTTTTTCTTGTCCTAAATGCTGCCTGAGAACCTGTGGCTAATTTTTAGCACTGGCTGCAATGCTTCATCTGGCACTGTGGCCTAGGCTTGACCCTGACAAATGAAAACTGAAGCAGAAATTCATCCCTCCTTCTACACAGTCCTGGTAACACAACATTCAAAAAGCATTGCACTAGTTTGAAAGCAAGAGACAAATGTAACCAACTCACTTTTCACTTTTGGTGGCTTTAGCACAGTGAATAATCTCCAAAATCAGTCAGCACTCTGGCAGCACACTATGGTCATCTTAACATTGTTCCTATTTCCTGATAYATAAACAACCCTCCCTGCCCCAAGGTTTTTTGTACTATATAATCTAAACCCATCAGAAGTAATGAACAAGAACATTTTGTTTACCTGTTTCTTTAATTATGCAAATGTTATACAATCAATTATGCTTTTAGATTCCTAACGGAAAAARACTGTGAACTGCAGCCATGTGACAAAACACATCTGTCAGTAAAATGCATTGTAGATATGCCATAAAGAACTCAAATCAACTTGAGAGTCTAAGCATTTGAAAACTTACATGAATACTTAAGAGAAATCTAGATATGCTAAATTATGCAAATAAACACTTAACTCATTCAATTTGACTCTTCAGTGAACATAATCAAACCAAATAAAGGATGTGATTTTACAATTTCATATGAATCTAATTTGGAGCCATAAATACCAAAATACTTTAACAACATTCACAGTCATTTCACATTGACAATTCATGGCCATGAGGTCATTAGGTTAAGTTTCCTTTTTTATCTCCCTCACTTTAGCTGCATATAAGTGGAATGTACCCAAATTTCCTGAATGACATTTACTGGTACAGCTTACATCCATCTCTGTGCCTGTTCAGATTATTTGACAAAGTAGCTTTGCATAGAATTTTTTCTCTCCACTATTGCCTCACACTCTAACCTGTAATGCAGTAGTTGTCAATGCAGTATTCTGCAATGAAGAATTAAAGAATCTCTCTAATCCCATTTTTCCTTGTACAAGACACAAGAAAGGCCACACAAGATTTTTCTTAGCAGTGTTGTACTGCTAAGGAAAATTATGCCAAAAAGCCACTAKACTTTTGTTTTGTAAGGGGACTGGAAAATCATTATATTCTACCAGATTTTAGTTTGAAAATCGTTTTAGGTCAGAACCCAAGGCCAGAGCAATAATCTTGTGTTATATTTCCTATTACTTTTTTTCTTCTTCCAAGTTGTGTATTACTTGACCTGTCCACAGACACTGCAGTGTAAACTTACAGAGGAAATTTAAAAAAAAAAAAATTACCACCCCCCACTCCAGACTCATGCATTTCTACCTCAAAGGGCAGATTTTTCATTTCCAGGACTATCTCACCTCTGGAGTGACATCTCGCGGTGCAAAGCCTGTTCCTCCAGTTGTTAAAATCAAATTAAGTTCCTTTTCATCACACCAATCTATCAGCGTCTCCTGAAAGAGAACATGAATCCTGTCAGATCTAGCAAGAAACAGTTATCTCAGAAAATATGAAGACTTGAAATGTCTTTAAAAAAGAGACACACACAATACATACAGGGAATCATAAAATCACTCATGGCTTTTTATACAAAATTTTTAAACCCCTATTTATAACCAAGATTACACAGAATAAAGCAAGTATCCACATAATATTATTTTGCATATGGGAACTGAAATTCAGTTCTCCATCACTTGATCTGAAATGGAAAAGAAGAATGCACAGTTATTAATTTCTACCACTATTTTTTGATATATAAATATAGTATTGTTTAATATATATATGATATATAAATATAGTTAATAGAGTATATACATTTAATTCAGATTACATAACTGATTTTTGTTACAGTAACTTTGATTTCCATGCTGCACTTTTTAATAGCCTAAAAAACGCAAGAACTACATATCTGTAAGCTTATCTACCAAATGCTCCTAAACCAGAGGGTGATGATTTATAATCATCTTTCCTACTTTCCCCCAATATCTCAACAGGAGTGTGTATACCCATTCCAAAGCTGGATGAAGAATTTTGTCATGTAAATTCAATGACTTACAATACTGGCTAACTCATGATACATTGATTTACATTCATTTTACAAATAACTTTTTAAACTAGTTTTCAAACTATGATAAAAATCTGACATAAGGAGAAAATCTATGAAATTTTAATGTGATTATATCACTTAGCCATCATACTTGACTGTGGGGCAGCATAGCAGGAGCATGTCTGCTTGGAGTGCAAAATCAGTAGTGCTACCTTAAGCACACTCATTACCCAGTAAAGTATCCATCTGCACAGATTATATCAATAACTGAGACAGTTATCTGTATTATAGCAAACAAACAACATTCTTTGAAAATGTTTTGGGCACATTTAAGTTTTTGGAGTATTTTATTGGGGAGGAAGGAGTAGTTTTGGAGAYTATTAGCTAAAAGCTCATTATTTATCACTAAATTAGCTCTGTGAAATATACTGATTTAAAAAGCTTAAAATCAAACAGTCTGGAACATTTTGAAATGTTCAACCAATTTAGATTAATCCTCAGCTTTATTTTCTGCAGGCTTAGTATGGCTATGCAACTTCCATTTAACAGAAGGCTCATATATAGACACTTAAAAATTGCAACAAGAATAAAGCTGTGTCTGATGGCAAGCCCCACCATGCAAAATCCAAGGACTACTTGAAGAAGTGGCAAAAGCCAAAGGTTTTGTCCTTATTTCTCCCTTCTTTACTCATTCCTTCCACTTTCTCTTCAGCATTCTCTTGTCTCTATTAAAATCACATTAATCTTTTTACTCTACATCTTTGGAGAGTAACACTCTGAATAACTGGGTTGTAAGTGAACACACCAGGAGTTTGTTATATGAACATATAAAATAAATTCAAGAAAGGAACAAGGATAATGCCTCAAAACTGTACATGAATGAAAAAATAAGTCTGGCTTCTGAGTTACATTTTGAAAAAATAAGTGAATTATGATAGTAAAAAGCATTTTAAGTCTTAAAATTGTTTGCTTCAATAACACTTATGCATTAGGAAATTGATTTCAAAGAGGTGGCATCTTCTCTCATTTATTTGTCTTGATTTAAACAGGTACAAATTTCCAAGCAAACTTCAGAGAAGTTCAGTGTTCTGTAAAGTGAGACCTYATTAGTACATTTATTTTAGAAACTAACATGGTCAGGAAAAAATTGCCTATATAAAACAGGAGGGATAGATTTTGGGGGTTTGGGTTGTTTTTTTAAAAGCAGAATTTATCTTCAGGTAAATAAAACCTGCCAAACTCCTTCTATAGAGAAAATAGGTCCTTCCTATGTCTTCATTTTGCTACAGTTCTGTAAWACTCTCATTAATAAGAGGGAAGAGTCATGTGTTACCCTACAAAAACATAAAGATATCAGTCTCCTAACTCTTCAAATAAATCGAGCAATAATTAAGTGCCTATTCCTGCTGCTCCATCAATGTACTTAGGCAGACTCCTAGATAGAATTCTCCATCAAGTTCTAGTTACAGTAAAGAAACTTTCAGGCTTTCAGGAAGAACACCTTTAACAATGAGGCAGCAAGTTTGGGTTTCATTGTATTTTAGAAGTGCAAGTTTATCACTTAGGTATTTTAAAACTACATAAAAGTACCTGAGGCTTATATTGAGCTTATTTATTTTCTCTCTAACCCACAAAACCGTGTCCCACAAAATATTCTCACTCATATTTTAAGTATCTAAAAAAGAAAGTTCCACGCTGATCAATTGTGAACAAATTGTGGACTCCAGCTAGGTAGATTCTGTACTGGCTTTGCAGGGAACTGAATTTTCTGTGTCTTCAAATGAAGATTTCTCTAGGCAAGCAACCTGATATTTGGCTTCACTGATGCTATACAAGCAAAATGATTATATAACATTTCAACCAAAGAAAATTTAATTTAATRGTTTTTATGCATATTTCTTCTCTTCTGTTGTTTCACTGATAAGCTTTCAAGAGAAAGTGACTAGGTCAACACATTATGTAAAGCATTGTTATTTCATTCAAGCCAGAGGAATGATGCTGATGGATACAAAATACAGTGGCTGGCTCTAAAAACACTACTGTAAATCTATCACCTAATTTTAAAAAGCCAGARCACAGCTATAGAACTCAGGGGAATAAAAACCCAACCAATAAATAGCTTAATATGTTTAACTATTAGTATCCTAAATTAGGCTTTATGAGTTATTTTGTAGTGTCTAGGTAGACAAGAGGAAATTAAGTTATTACAGACARTTCCACCACAAATAATTTTATTTCAATTTTATTTCAAAAGAACCTTTTCAAATTTCACTGAAGTCCTAGAATAATTATATTCATTATGTCTTTCTGCTGCACAGAAATAAAGTATCAGCCCAGTTGTCTCCTTAAGGTTTAGATTATATCTAGTGCCCCATCCTCTTTACCTAATTTTTTGTACTTTATCTTTTAAATACATTTAAATTTCTCTCATTTAAATGAGAAAGAAATCTTTAGATATAACAAACAACCTATTTCCATCTCTTGCTCCAAAGAGATGTTTCTGTCAGCTCCTTCTTTCCTGCAACTTGAAACTCATTGGACTTCCTGTGCACTGCCCAATTTTGAAATTACTTCCATTATAACACTACTCATAAAAATTTTTGTTTATGATCTGTTTGAATTTTCTCATGGCCAGTGTTCATTTCACCAGTGCAGAAAAATCTTGCCTCACTTTTTCTCCGAGTTCTTAGTCATTCACATGTAAATTTATTGATTTGAAGACCATAAACATCATTACCTCATGGAAAAAAAATACCTACAGTGTGTGGCACAGTGCAGATATTCTATGTTTATGGGAGGTACATGCTTRCAAATTCACAGGGGCACCACCACATTAAGATACACTAAGTCCAAAAGCTGTCTAGGTGAATTTTTGKGGCACCACACCTAAGCTAGTGCTACTTGACATTTCAGTCAAGTATGTTCCAGATGGCTGGAACACTCACAGACATACTTCCTTCTATGGAGGTAACTTAAGCATCTCCATCTCCAAAACACAAAACTGCCACTAGTCTAAGCTGCAATGAGCATTTCCTTCTGCATTTAAAACTAATTCTATGACTCAGGCTCTTCCCTACAACGCCTTGCCTTGGTCGAGGGGGTTCAAGAGAGAGAAGATACATCATGCTTTAATTTGGTAGGGTTTTCCAGCAGCTCTTCATGATTTTCATTAAGTATTGTGTTTCTAGTAACTCCTTCTAACTAATCATTTCTGTGGGACAATGCCCCACCATGATACATAAGAAACCTACTCACAGAATACACAGTAACAGTGGATAGGAAAGTGGGTTATTTTGCACCTCCATTAATGGACCATCCATTAATCTCTAAATAAATGAACTGGAAAACAAGCAGGGACTCCTTTCTGGAATGAAAGGAACAGTTCCCTTATCTTTGCAGATAACTGAGGTTTGTGAATTACTTATCTTAGCCAGAAATTTAAACTTGAGAAGGTTGCAGGTCTCCTTTTACTGCCACTGTATAGTGATTTTCCACATAGATAGTGAGACTATGACCCTCAGCTGGAGAAGAAGTATTACAAAGCACACAAAAATGGCCGTTGTGGATCAGACTAAATGCCTACACAGAAGAGCTGAAGTCCTAATGACTTCTCCTTTTCTATCATGCAACAGTCTATGGTATGTCTTGCCTGTTTTTGTTGTCCTATTTTTGTCATCACTGCTATGAGAGTGTGATAACACTCCCATTGTGTTTATGCTTCCAAAATTACAAGAATACATTCCTTCAAGTCAACATTCTGGTGCTTCCCACTTAGATCAACATGTAAAACTTTTTCTTATCAATATATAATTTGCTTCACAATACAAGGATTGTAAAAATAGTTCTCAATACACATACATATTTTCATATACCTTAGCCACTAGAATATGACATGTACACTGTTATAATTTAAAACATCCAGAAAGAAGAGGGAAATGCAAATAAGAAAACCCAATATAAATAGGGCAGATTTTCATAATGAATCCATACACAATTCCTCAATTCTATATTCAGTATTGAAACTAGTTAAATAATTCTTAATTCTATAGTTGACAAAGATGTTTGGCATTTAGGCACATGCTAGATTTTTCCAACAATACAATCATRATGTTATTTCACCTTACCTTCATCAATAATCAAATCAAAATGTGCAAAAACTTAATTTCAACTGCTGAAAAAACATAAATGTTAAATATGAAATTTAATTATGAAAAAATATACATTTATTTATATTGGACTTTGAAATGGAGTTGAATTAGTATAAGCTGGTTTAGAGACATGCGTACTATCCAGAAGTATTGTCAAAACAACTTCATGTGACTTAAAAGATCATCGTAGCTTACAGGACAAACTGCTCAGAGTGTTCAGAGATGCAGAAGTCTGTATTCTCCTTAACAGATCTCAAAA